AACCATTCGTAAAGTCTGTCAAGTGCACAACATGCGCAGTATTCTGCGACTTATAAGCTTACTTGCTCCTCCCGAATTTGTTCTCAAAAATTACGTAAAGTCAGGTGCACGTGGTTCTCATTGGAGTATTTTCAGTCGTCATGAAATATGGCAAGCTGTGCGCAATCTCACAACTGATTGATGACCAGACCAAACTGTTCTGAGCAATTTCCTCCCCTCGCCAAACTCTTTATCAAAATTTCTCTTTGACCACAGCTGGGCAAAGTATGTCATCGCACTGAACTTTGTTCGCCGCTTCACTAGGCTAGAACGTAGTATCTTGTCCAAACAAAAACTTCTTTATCTCTACCACGTGCTTTTCTTCCGGTTTCGAGCAGGAAAAATAAGCAGCCAAAAAATTGATCAGTACCAAAATGGTCATTTTTTTCAACAAAAAAAATAACAAAAAACTCATGAAATTGTTTGGAAACAATGACTACAATGTGCTTCAATCCTCTTCTACTTTCTTTGCATCACTACGAAAAATGGATAGAGATTTTGGTCTCCAATTTCTTCTGAGGACATCGAAATCACTTCTTTTTGTATCCTCAGTCATTTAGAAAATGTACGTTGAAGACCATGAAAGCCATTGCATCCATTGCAAAAGGCATAACGTTTTATTTGCCAAGCACTCCAGCAAAATAAACACGGTCTTCAACAGCAGATGAAGAACAACGAAACAAAAGCAAATGCTGTTCATCAGTTCAGAAGATTAATTCCAAAAGAATTTTCCTCATCTATCAGATTCAAATTTAGATACAACTTCAGAAGTCTCATATAGTCCTCCAAATCATCTCCAAATAATCTCTCAAATTAAAATTTTCAGAGGGACAAGAGAAAATCTACAGACTTCCCTGTTGCTCTGATGTCGAGTACTTGACCTGCCCCAAAACAGAATGAGCTGTTTTGGGGCTTGATTTGCATTCCAATTTTTTTACAGTCAAAAAATGCCCTAGCACTAAACACAAAACAAAAAGAAAACAATTATGGCACCCAAAATTTTCTTTGGACTATTTTTGCTAGCTTTCAACATGAAAAAGTAAAGACTACTACTCTCTACTCCTTACTGCTCCAGTTGTTTGTTGTTCAGGCCTACTCTTTCCTTACTTCATCACAGCTAAGCCTCAATTTCCATCTGCTGGCAAAACGTAAATAACGGATATCCAAACATGTGGAATGCTAGTGGTGCGGAGATAAACATATGTAATGCAAAATCTTTTTACGGATATAGAGGTCTGGATACATGTTTTTGGCAATCTTCGCTTTTGATGGAAACTTAAAAGAAATTAAGAATTGATGTGTTTTCTTTACATTTCTATCAGAAGAAAAATTAGAGTTTCATGTGAGATGTGAATTATGCGAGAAAAGAAGAGATTACAAAGAAATAAAGGAAGATAAAGGATACAAATAAGACTGATCAATGAAAGAGAGACTTTTGATTTGCAAAAAAAA